AATCTGAAGTCAAATGCTGTCCTATAGATATATAGAGGGTGGAGCAAAAGTAAGTTTATAGTTGTTCATATGAAACATAATACAATAATTAATAAATAATAATACAAGAATAAATTCAGTTTTGCATATCCATAACAGTAAGCCTACTTTTGCCCCATCCTGTAATGTGCACCATACATGAAATTAAAATTTTTCAGTACCCATATCTCAAAAAGTAAAAACAAAGTTAATTTATATTATAAATATATTGTGTTTAACCAACATACCCAAATATTGTCAGTTTTTTTAAAGACTTTATCTATTTATTTTTAGAGAGGGGGAGGGAGGGAGAAAGAGAGGGAGAGAAACATCAATATGTGGTTGCTTCTCATGCCCCCTACTGGGGAACTGGCCCAGAACCCAGGCATGTGCCCTGACTGGGAATCAAACAGGCAGGCAACCCTTTGATTTGCAGGCTGGCACTCAATCCACTGAGCCACAGCAGATAGGGCACAACTATTGTCATTTCTACATGCAATCAATATAAAACATTTTAATTAGGTATTTATATCAAAGTTTTACTGAGTCTTTGAAATGCAGTGCATGTTTTACACTTACAACACACCTCAATCTGGATGCTAAATTTTCATTGGAAATACTTGGTCTGCAATTAGATTTCCTAAATCTTATAGTTGAACAAGTAGGTTCACATACCCAAGTTGTTCCAAATATGCTTAAAATTTTTCCTATAATTGTCCTGGCTGGTGTGGCTCAGTGGATTGCATATGCATCCAAAAATTTTCCTATAATTGAATCAACTGTCAAACTTAATCTTTTAAACACAACTGCATTAACAAAACTTTTTCATCTTTTGGGAAAAATGGATTTAACATTGCAGCAAAAACTTATTGTTTTGAAATTGTCTGTTCAAGTTGAATAAATTCACTAACTCTAGTATGAATTCAGTATTATTTCAAAGGGATAGTACCTAAATTTAAAAGCGACATTTTAAAAGAAAATTTTATTTATTTTTAGAGAGGGGGGAAGGAAGGGAGACAGAGAGGGAGAGAAACATCGCTGTGGGAGAGAGTGGTTGCCTCTCACAAACCCCCAGCCAGGGACCTGGGCCACAACCCGGGCTTGTGCCCTGACTGGGAATCTGAATTGGCGATCTTTTGGTTCACAGGCCGGTGCTCAGTCCACTGAGCCACACCAGTCAGGGCTAAAAGCAACTTTAATATCAATAAGTGTTCTTCACAATTTTCTTGTAGCTTTTGTGGCCAATTTATATATTGTTGTTGAGTATAGTAATTAACTTTTTCTTCACATTAATTCATGTTAGAAAATATATAAAATTATTATTATTGATTTGTATTATTAAATGTTTTTTTCAACATACCTTTTTTTTTTGAGAGTACATTTGTTAAAGCTGGGGACAGTGAAACAAGGAAGGGCTTAGAACAGAAGAAACAACAGGGGAGAACTCAGGCAGAGCTGCTTTGGCTCACTGCAAAGTCAGAGGAAAGGGGGCATTGAAGACAGGGTCCGGGGCTTAGCCCAGGATGAGCTGCCAGCAGCCCATTGTGCCCCTGGTTGTAAGTCTCCCGGGTCCCTTAGAGTTTAGGAGATGCAAACCTGAGAGGAAACAAAAGCGTAGGTGTGTTCCCAAGAGGGAGAACAAGCCTCAACATAAGTGCTTCTTAAAGTTTAGTTGAGTCACAAATTAACAATTCCTTTCCTTGGAGCTTCAAAATCAACTCATTCATACACAGGGCGATATCAGAAAACACATAATCACATTGTCTTGTGTTTTTGATTATTGAGTATTTTGGAAGCATTTCCATAGTTTGAAGAAAATCTTGAGTTTAAATTAACAGTACAATAAATAATTGTAACTTGTCAAACTCAAACAAAATCATCGGCAAAGAACATGAGACCGCTAAATTGTTTTCTGTCTTTTTCAACAGCTTCATAAACTGGCAGGCCCCTGTGAAAAGCCAAAAAAATAAGAACCTCCCCCACGCCACTCCTTGCTTTCTAGTGGCAACTTCTCTCTAGTTTCTTCCTGCTTAGGTCTTTTCCAGGGCCTTCAGTTGTTTTGCTGTAGCCTGTACCGAGTTTCTAACTATTATCTGTGAAATGGTCGTTCTGAATTGGCTACTCCACCTTTATGGGAAGCAGACCCCCTCCAGTCTCATCTGTTCTTACTCCTTCTTTCCCCAACGACCTGGACTCTGGCCATACTCAATTATTTAAAGTTTCCAGAACAGCCCTGGCAGGTGTGGCTCAATAGATTGAGTGCCCACTTGAGCATCAAAGGGTTGCAAGTTCGATTCCCAGTCTAGGGCACAAGCCTGGGTTATGGGCCAGGTCCCCAGTGGGGGGCGCACAAGAGAAAACCACACATTGATGTTTCTCTCCCTCTCTTTCTCCCTCCCTTCCCCTCTCTAAAAATAAATATATAAAATAAAGTTTCCAGAACAGGCTGTGTTCTCTCTTGTCTATGGGCCTTGGTACATACCTCTTTCTCTTTCTTCCCCCACCCCAATCCAAGTATCTTTTACTCATTTTTTAGGGTTCAGCATAGATATACCTGTTCTGGAGAGCTTTGTGAGGCAGTCCTGACTCAAGTAACAGAAACTTCCTTGTGCTAACAAGTTGAAGGGAGAAGAGGATTTAGTGTAAGAGTACAGAGGAATCCTCTGGACACCCAAAGGCAGAAATCCAGCCAGGCCTCCACCAGGCACTCCATTCCATTGGGACTTCATCTCCATCTCTTGTATCTGTTCTCTGCCCCTCAGAGGAGCTCCTAAGAATCCCAGTTTCTCTTAAGTAGCTTTACTTCCCTTTCTTGAGGGCAGAACTATGCCTTTATTTTCTCATCCTAAGAATTTAGTAGAATACAGCCAACAGAGCTCAGAGGAGGTAAAAAGCAGACAAGCAAACTGACCTTTAATATACCTTGGAAGTGTTGAAACATTTCCAAGATGCTTTAGGAGCCAGAGGAGGAAGCAGCCACTTCTCTATCTGAGCAGTCGGGAAGACTCAGAAATGACACCAAATGGCGTTGCTTGTCCTCTGATTGGGAGACCCAAAGGAAAATACCACAAAAAGCAAAGAATCTCTTAAAAAATCCCTCCCAACCCTTTAGGTCTCCACTGAAATGAAGAGAGAACACCCAATAATGTCTTTCTACATAGTATTTGAAGAGAACAAGAATCCTAAGCGGAGACCTTGATGATTGATTTCTGTACCAGTTCAGCCAGATTTCTTCCAGTTCTCTTCCTCATCTTGGAGTCTTCACACATTTGCCTTCAAACACTCTTGCCTCCGTCTAGAGTGTTTTCCTCATCCTAAACCTTTTGACTCACCTCTAAACAGCTTTAAGCTTTCAACTTCAATGTCACTTTCTGGAGAAGGAGGAGGTCCCCTTCTCCCCCCAGTTAGGGTAAACCCTAGTGCCACACACTCCACTGCAGCCCGAGCTTCCCCTTTCTGAACACTCACCTCATTGTCCTGCCCTCCTGCGCAAGGTCTGCCTCAGGCAGTCTGTAATCAGTGTCGGCAGGGACCCTGTCATCACGTTCCTGCCCACTGCAAGGGCTTGACACAGAGCCTGGCACCTTGGAGGTGCTCAAAAATACTTGTTGCTTCCATTGAACTTCAATAGTTAGTACAACTTCCTCATTTGAAAGGGAAAAAAAAAACAAGGCACAGAGATGGGGAAGTGAGTTTTCCAGCAGGCTTCAGTTTGTGGCCAGGCAGACCGGACACATGGGCTGAAGAGCTCCCTGCTCTGGGATCCTGTGGAGCTGTCTCGTTGGCTGTCTTCTTTCTTTCCAGAACGAGTGATGATCAATGTGAACATTGGAGACTTTTTGTATTACTAGGCTTTTATTTCTTCTAAATTGTGCACAAGGGTGGAACTCTCCCAGGAACATTTTTGATTCATGTAGAGAGAACACTGATTTTTAGTAGTGAAAAGGGGATGTATGTGTGTGTGTGTGTGTGTGTGTGTGTTTAAAGATTGTATGTATTTTTAGAGAGGGGAAGGGAAGGAGAAAGAGAGGGAAAGAAACACCAGTGTGTGGTTGCCTCTCACACACCCCCTACTGGGGACCTGGCCCACAACCCAGGCATGAGCCCTGACTGGGAATCAAACCAGTGACCTTTCGGTTCACAAGCCAGTACTCAATCCACTGAGCCACACAGTGGGGGCAGAAAAACAGACTTAAAAAAAGAATTAAAAATCCCCCCCCAAGTTTTAAATTTGAACACTTTCAAATTTATAGGAAGTTTGCATGAATAGGAAGGACAAGAGAAACCCATTTATACTTCATCTAGATCAGCAATTTTCACCTGATGTGCCAAAAGAAATTTAAAAACATGCAACGCCATCTAAGCTGGATCCACCATGCCATGGTCCCAGAGAGACCAAGGACAGCATCTTTCCTTCTGCATGCTTTGCCTTTGCATGTTATACAAAGATGCTATGTTAAATTGATCATATAAGTAGATTTTATGTTATTAAAAAAGTTTGGAAGCCAAAAAAAAAATAACCCCCCAAAGCATGACTATTTAGTCAGGGGCTCTGACCTCTTCCCCTTGGACTGCCAAATTAAAAGTAACAACAGCCAACACAATAACTATCTGGTGTGAATAAATCAAAATTATATGTATTTTTTTTGTCAGATAAGCAAAAAATACATTTTTGGTGTGCTGCAGAATTTTAGTGATTAGTTTATGTGCAAGGAGATGAACAAGTTTGAAAATCACTGCTGTACATTCATCAGCTGCTCACGTTTTGCACAGCAGCTGTCTCTTTTCCCCCTGCATGTGTGTACGCACACGCACACACATATATACACCCACATGTGTGCATATAATATATATATATTCCACCTTCCATATATCACAGTGTATATAGTACATATATGTATATTCTCTCTATATGTGTATGCTCTATACATATACATGAATGCATACACTTATTTTTTGCTGAACTATTCAAGAGTCAGTTGTGGATGGAAAATTTGTTATATTTTACCCTGAGCACCTCAATACATATGCCCTAAGAACAAGAGCATTCTCCTACACAAATATAACACAGTCATCACAGTCTTACAATACTATTTGCTAATATACATCCACACTCAAATTTACGTCCTTTATAGCTGTTTTATAAAACCCAGGATCCAATCGAGAATCACAAATTGCACGGTGTTGCTCTCTAGTGTCCTTTAATCTCCAACAGTTTGCCCACCACTTTCTCTGTCACCACACGGACATTGTCGAAGAGTCCAGGCCAGTCATTTTGCAGACTTGTCTGACTACTTCCTCATGGTTGGAGTCAGATGAAACTTTTTGGGGGGAGAAGCTGGACAAGCATGCCACTTGTGTGATGCTGTGGGGTCCTTTCAATTGCAGCGCCTTCACTGCAGATGTCCTGAGCCTGAGGACCTCCTGTACTAGACCCCCGCCCCCAGGGCTGGGCAGAGGTGAGGCCCAGGGAGCCGGCGGGTGAAGGCCAAACTTTAGCCTTGACAGAGTCAATTGCCAGCGATGGCTGCCAACGGCAGGGCATTCCTTCTGGGTAACCAAGGCCGAGCTGAGCACTCCTTCCCACTGAGAGCTCCCATGGCCCACGGCCAGCCCGTTGCTCAGCCAGTGGGTCACCTGCTGCTGTGGCCACTCTCTGTTGATGCAGCTGCAAGGGGAAAAGAAGAGGGGTGAGGGGGTGGCCATGCCAATGCAGTCCTACAGGAGGGAAAGGAGAGCAGGGGACAGGGAACCACAATTTTAAAAGGACTGAAAGGGTGAGAGGCAGAGGGGACACACAGCAAAGAGCAGAGCAGAGAGTGAGACACAGAAACAGACAGACTCAGACACACGGGCCCCAGGGGAAGGTGCCGGCTGATGAGCTTCAGAAGGAACAGGTCCTGAGTCTGTTTCACAGGTATGCTGGCTCTGAGATTTTGGAAAGTGAGGCGAGTTTGTGTTTATGCCGGTCAGACTCAAAGGGCACGAGGGTTTCTCCCAAGGGGCTGTGTGGGGTCACTTGCTCAGTCCGTACTTTTCCAAAACACAGAACTGCTCCTCAGGGCCCCAGAAGACGGGCCCTGGACCAGGAGGTTCCTACTCCAGCTCAGAACGTCTCCCTTTTATTTACAGGGCTGTTGGCAGACAGGGAAGACTATGTGGGGCATGTGTGGAGGGAAGGAGAGGGGCAGAAGAAGAGAGCAGGAGAAGGGCAGGCAGAAGGGAGGACCCAGAGAAAAGGGCCCTAAAAATAGCCTTCCCCCTGTGAGTGGGGAGGAACCCGAAATCCTGGGAGCTGCCCAGCAGGTGTGACCCGAGCTAATGATAATAGGCTCTTTTCCCAGGAAAAGGGCCTTAGCAGAGGGGGCTGGCGGAGACAGAAGCTGCTGGGCCCCTGGACTCAGCAGAGTGGAGAGGGATCTAACCAGGCCCTGCCAGAGCAAAACTCCTCCAGATGCTGCTGGGGAAGGGCTCCTGAAAGAGGAACTTAAACATGGACATGGACGGAGAAGGCTTTCCAGCAGTAACGCACACTGTCTGCACTTTCCATTGGCAGGAAGAGAAGAAAATGGAAAAGTGCAGTCAGGAGCCGTGACCTGGGAGTCAGGGCTCAGAGCTGAGCCCAGGAGAAGAAGCCCCTGCCTGCCCTCTGCCTTTGACCCGGAGAGCAGCCCCCAGGCCCTGCATCTTACCGAGGAGGTTGAGGGGTGTCAAGGGACTGGAGAGCACATCCCGAAAACTCTCCAGCCACTCCTGCTGCTCTCTCTCGCTGGGGCAGGTGAAGACGAATCTGCGCTCAGGGGTGACCACGGTGATGCCGGCTTTCCAGCGGTTCCCTCGGATGCCCTTGGGCAGGTCTTCATACACTTCGTACCCCTGCTCCTTGCTCCCGAGAAACACCTGGCCCAGCTCAAAGGCGTCCTGAAAATAGAGGACACCTGGTCATCAGAGGCCACACCTGGGGCAGAGGGAAACCTACAGGTGTGATAGCCCCCCAGCCCTATTTTAGAAAGCGGTGCAGGGGTGGGGGCGTATCCCTGCTGGGGATTTCTGCTAGGCGGGACCCAGGATTTGAAAGGCTGTGACTATAAAAGAGATCACACTATGCACCAGGAGTTCAAGTGCTTTACAGGTAGTAACTCATACAATTGTCATGGCAACCTCTCAGGAAGGCATTGTTATTAAGCCTATTTTCTGGAAGAGGAAACTGAGGCACAGAGAGCTCAGTACTCTGTCCAGGGCACAGCACTAAAAGTAGCAGGGCTGAATACAGAGCCTGGACAGCTGAGTTCTAGAGCCCACACTCCTAACCACTATACTTCCCAGCCTTCTGCCTAGAACTGGAGACTAGAGGACAAGAAACAACCTATTTAACTACATTCTGGATATACATAAAGGCCTTCCTGCAGGTGAGAGGAGAGGTAGCCTGGTGCCCAGGAGATGGCTTAGAGACAAGCAAAGGTGGAACTGCGTCCCCTGCCAGGGCTCTCTGGCCCCGTGGCTTCACCACAGTCCCTGACCAGCACTCGCCTCACCTCCAGCTCGGGGTGAACTGGGGAGGGGCCAGCAGTGGTTCTTACCAGTGGGTGCTTGTAATAGAGCAGTCTCCGTTCCTGGGGGTCCAGGGCAAACCACCTTTTCTTGAAAGGTTCTCTCTGCTGCAAGAGAGGGAACCTTGTACCAGGGTTGGCCAAGCTGAAGAGCACAAGGTAAGAGGGCTGGCCTCCACTAGCCCAGGCAGCAGGCCAGTCCCTGGGCAGTCACCCCAGGGCGCCTCCCTGAGGCCCTGGAGTTCTGAAGGCCCTGCCCGCCTCTTCACCGCTGCCAGCTTCACCCTGCTGCCTTCAGGTGCAGCTGAGGGTGGAAAGAGGCACTTTCCTCTTTCTTAGACTGTGGACAAGAAGTCTCAGAAAAAGGAAGCTGGGATCTATCAGAAATGGCTACTGCTCAGCAATGCTGAGAGCACCAGCCTCGGCCAAAGTCTAACCTAGGTCAGGGCAAAGAAAGCCTGTGAGCAAGAACCCGGGATGGGCGTGCCCTGGCTGCTGAAAGAAGGAGGCAAAGCCTGCAAGCCTTCGACTAGTTTTCAAGCTGAGGTTTCCTTTCACACTGATTGCTGATACTGATTGTTCCCTTTCCCAGCAGTCTTAACCACCATCCTGGCAACATGTTACACCTTCAACAAAAACGCACTGGGATGCTGCCGCTTTGTGTGTGTTTTTAGGGAGCTCCCTCTGCTTTTCCCTTCCTTTTCTCTTCTCCTCCTCCTTCCTCCCCTTCCTCTCCTCACAACTATGGTACCCTCTCCAGCCAGACTTCTGACTTGGAGCCTCGCCCCCCAACCCCCAATACCCGGCTGGGTGTGAGATGCCCTCTGGCAGCAGGAGCCTCCACCCCCCCGCCCCACATCCTCCATGGGAGACACAGAAGCATCTAGGCTCCCTTTCCTTCACAGACAAGTGGGAATAGCAGCCCCTGAGGGCCGAGGATGGGTTTAGCAAATGAGAGCAGAGACTGAGTTTGTGCTGGGGAGGGGCATGCCCACGTGGACACCCAAGATGGGGGTACAGGTGTGTTTTTGCAGACTAATCTCTAGTCCCTGACTCGTGTGGATGGTCCCAGTGGAACCCCAGACCAGTGCACACAGTTCTGGAAAAGGCAAAAGCCAATCTCCAAGGAGTCCCTTTCTGCTAGGCTTTCCCGGGAGGTAGGAGGAAAGAAGCAGGCGGTGGCATGGATAAGGAGGGAGGACGCCAGCGAGAGGGAGGAGCACCTGCAGCCACAGCAACCAGCTAACCACAGGGTCCTGGACCCCAGGACCTCACACATTGGTTTACTTCCCGTTCCTCATTGTCCCACCTCCCAAGCCCTGCCCTATTGCCCATTGGGACAGGGGTCATGGAAGTGCCCCGGAGACCAGTAGAATGTACCTTTGGACCAGTCTTTTCCATGAAGCCTTGTTTGAGGTAGTTCCTGGTGATGAGGGGCACGAGCTGGGGGAAGAGAGACATACACTGAGCCCCTGACTCACACCCCAGGGGTTCAGGGTTCCCCACTGAACCTGGCTTCCCCCAGAAGGGGAAGTGTGGAATAGGGAAGGATGTGTACTCATGGTTCACAAGGTTATATTTGGAATGTGGTATGGATGCAATTTAATATTTCAACAGAGGCAGACAACAGCACCCAGATGTTTGCAGGGTTTCCTAGCACAGCTGAGTCTTGCTTTAAGGACTTAGTTTAAGGAATGCTTCGATGAGCCCAGGAGGTGGACACAGACAAGGCACTGAGGAGACCCTCCGGCTTCCAGGTCTCCCGTAGGTCTAGTGTGTATCAGGCTCTGGGAGTAACTCTCAGCCACCCCGTGAGGTGGTGGCTATTACCATCCTCACTGAATGGTATAGTGTCGAGGATATTCCCAAGGTCACACTGCTGGTGGGACGGAGCTCTGGGATTCACACCTAGGGCTGGTGGACACTGGACAGACACTGGTGGTCCTCCTATCACTACACGCTAACGTATAAACACGCCTCTCATTAGGCCCCAGGCAAGACCTGGTCATTGGTGGGGATGCTGACACAGGGCCCCAAGGAGGAGACAGCAGAGGAAAGTAGAGAAAGCTCTGGACCAGGAGTTCTAGCACCAGTTCTGACCTGAACTAACTATATTCCCTTGATCACACCTTATGCCTCTCTGAGCCTGTTTCCATGGATGGCTTGACCTCCAGGGTCCCTCCCAGCTCGCCATCCTATTCCCAGAGAAACTTCCAGGGACTGGTGCCAGCCTTCTGTGCTCCAGGGGGTCAACCGTCCAAGCCTAGAGCTGCCAACGACAGCCCAGCCGTGTGAGCGCAGAGGGCGAGCTCCAGGGCCCTGGGGCCCAGGGCAGAGGCAAAGGGGAAGTGAGGTCTGGGAAATAGCAGTGGGAAGTCTGAAAGGGGGACAGTGGTGAGCCAAAGCCGAAAATGCAAACTGTGCTGCTCCCCTTGCCCTAAAGCATGTTCTGTAAGCTTGAATGCCGTCATCTGGAGGGAAAAGAGTCCCCTACTGCTCAACAGTCAGAACTGAGCCAAGGCAGGGCTGGTCCAGGCCTAGGGAAACAACTGGGAGAAGGAAAAACACGAGGGTGGAGCCCTGCTTACTGTGCCTTAGCTGCCTCGGCTCACTCGATTCCCACAGTAGCCCTGGAAGGTACGCATTGTCACCTTGGTGGCAGATGAGCAAACTGAGGCTCAGAGAGGTAAGGTGACTTGCCCTAGGTAACACATCAGCTTCGCTGGCTACAGAGTCCCTACGTTCCTTAGCTCAGGAACACTGCACCTCCCTCTCCCGCCGCCACCAGGGCTCCCTGGGTTTCTGGCATCTGGACCCCTAAGCTTGAACCAGACCTGGGTAATTGCCCAGGACCTCACATGGACATAAAGGAGGAAAGACGGGGGAGAGGGGCCGGCAGGGAGGAGACTGGGGGTAGAGGAGGGGTAACGATGGCAGATGAGGGAGGCAGGAGGACAGTGAGGATGTTGGCCAAAGACCAGCTTCCTCTGCAGGGGTCAGCAAGTTGGAGAGCCAGCCCAGATAACGTGGCTGAGCATCTGCACTTTGCCCTCCTGTCCTCTCCAGTCAGCAGTCAGCACTCCCCACCCCCTGCCCCCTGGAACGCGCCTTCACCAGCTCTGGGTGCTGACTCTGCAGCACCCTGCTCCAGGCCGGCTGGGACCACGTTCGCAGAGGTGCCATCTCGGGGCACCACTGGCCTGTGGGGGCCTCATTCAGGCATTTGGCTGCCTGCAAACTTCGGAATGAAGGAGCATGCAGGCTTCTGAGGGGGACCTAACAGTCTGGAATAAGACAGTCCCAGGATTAACTGGTCTCTCCACCCCCATCACTTACAAAATCCTCTTAGAGTAGGGCCTAAAACAGTCACCAGATCATAGCACCTCAAAGCTGTAAGGGACCCTGAGGATGACCCAGATCAACCACCACCTTACAGATCTGGAAACATGTGCAGAGACATGATGTGACCTGAACAGGTCACACGGCAAGTTAACAACAGAGCATCCACAAGGGCCCAGGCCTCCTGGCTCGGGGCAGCATCCTCTGCCCAACTCTGTTGGCTTCCCCAGCCAAGCCAGAGAGATGTATGTAGATGCCCCCACCATCTGACAATGAACATGACAATGAACATGACGTTCCCAGGCTCAGCACTACCGGGGCCATGAAAGGCAGGCTGTTCCTGCTAGAATTGCAAGGCGGGAGGGCCCACTGCCTTCACGAGACCAGAATCCTAAAGGGCAAAGGGGGGTGGGGTGTGGGAGCAGGAAAACTGATGGTTATCCACTTGATCATCCTGGGACTCAGTTTCTCATCAGCAAAATGGGAATAATCACTCCACCTAACTGCCTGCTACAGGATTGTGAGCTAAAAGGAATCACGAGATAAAATGGGCTCTAAAGCACTTTGTAAGCAGCGTGGTGAGAATCATTTGTACCTTTTAGAGGGGGCATGGGTCAGGAAGAAATGCCCAAATCCTGAGCCCTTTGATATGGTGGGTGATGCCAGGCACCCCGAAGGAGAGAGCCTCACCCGCCTTTTGGGGGTCACCTTGCCGTGTGTGAGGCCACAATCCCCCAGCCTCCCCAGTAGGAAACCTTTGGTTTCCCTCTGAAGTACCCAACCCCCAGTTTCAAGGTCTTGCCTACAAACCAACCTAGCCTGGCCTCTGAGTGTCTTCGAGGTCAGCAGACAAGGAGAGGAGGTGGCAGAGAGGAGACTCGGAAGCTGGAGTCCACTTTTAGCTCACCTCAGGCTCTGGGAGCTCAGGAAAGGCCATCTTTAGGTATTGCAGACGGGCTGCGCGGAGGGCGTTGAACCAGTCCACTATCTCCTGCAGAGACAAACATGAAGGACACACAGACAGCCAGTCAGATGGAGCGGGGTGGGGGAACTGAGAGCGAGACAGGAAGCCGACTGTGTCTTTATGTCTGGGCACACACACTCAGCACACGCACACGTCCCAGAGCCACTCGGGGGCCTGTGGGCTGACCACAGGCATCTGGGGGGCCAAGGCAAGAGCCTGGGAGTAGGGGGAGGCCCACCTGAGCAGGTGGGAAGCCACTGGCAGGGAGACCCCGAGAGTCATGGGGAAAGACCAAGGCAAACTGCATGAGACTTACGCAGTGGCCTAGGACAGCCCTTGACCTTTTCTCCCAGGTGCATGAACCGCCCGAGGATCTCGTTACAATGCGGATATGGATTCAGTGGGTGTGGGGTGGAGCCTGAGATTCTGCATTCCTAGCAATCTCTCAGAAGATGATGCTGGTCAGCAGGACACACTTGATGTCAAAGACTGGTTTTCAAGTGGGGGCACAGGCACCTCAGGATGCTTCTCCAGTGGGGCTGCTCCTTGCCTGGGGTGCAACCCAGGCCACAGCCGACTGGCACCTTCTGCTGTGGGGAGAATGCACCCCTGACAGTGTGGGCACCACCACCTCTTGGCAGGTGAACAGCTGCTCTAGCTGGCTGTGCCTCCATTTGTCTGTCCAGGCGGTCCCCACGTCCCCGCCCCTCCTAGGGCCTGAGTGATCTTTTACTTGCAAATGAGAGAATCTAAGCTCTTCAGTAGGACTTACCCTGTCCTCTGAGCTCCTTCCATACAAGACTATTTGCTGTCCCAGCGCAAGCTCCCTCCTCCTGGAGCTGTGCCTCACCCACCTTGCTCCCCTCGCACCCCACACACCTGTTACCTAGAACATCCTCCTCCTCCTGAAGGTAGTTAGATGTTGTCATAGATTTTTGTAGCCCAAGCTCTGCTTCTGTGAGAACTGCCCCCATGTATTCTCACCCACCCACTCGCACCCACAGCTGCAGACACATGGGCTGCAATTATCCCGCCCCTTCTTGGCCACAGCAACTGGACCGGGGCTGAACCCATGCAGAGGCTGGACTGGGCTTATCCGATTCTTTCGCTCAGGAATTTGGAGGAAGAAAGACTTGTTCAAATAGCTACAGTGTTGCACTTTGATGCAACCTGGTGATTGAGAAGCTCATTTGGATGTGGTTTGGAAAGAATGGAATGTAATTACCCGTTGTCTCTAACAGGCTGGGCACGCAGGCCTGGTGTTCCGAGTGGCGAGCTCTCCCATCCTGGGAGGTAAGAACCTCGTGTCCCAGGTGCTAAGGGAATGGGGCCATCCCAGGGAGACCCGGGGAAGGCCCTCACTTTGGAGGTCTCTCCAGTCACAAGCCGGTGACCTTGGGACCAAGTCCAAACTGCATTCATGTCTGGCTCCTAAAGTTTTGTTTGTTTGTTTTATCCTCTATACAGGTTTTCCTTTTTGCCACAGCCTTACAGCTGTCTACTTTGAAATTACCTACCCTAGTGAATGCGCACTGTCTAGACACACCCATAAGTATGTGCCAGGTTCCTCTCTCTGATCTCACTCTGACTTCCTCACACCTTTGTCTCTGACCACAAAGTGACAGTAGATTTGGGCGAACCGTAGCTGCACATCTCAAGCAGCAGGGACTGGTGACCTGGGCCTGTGGAGCCCGGGGTGCTGAGCTGGGGCCGACGTGGCAAGCAAGGCCCCTGTCTCACCTTGCCGTTCTCATGATACACAAACAGGTTCCTAATGTGGCCCTCTCTCCGGTAGGTGATCTGCAGCCCATGGGGGTTCCCTATCTTCTCCGTCTGGAAGGTGGCATTCAAGTCCTTGATGTAGATGACAGCTTTGGGGCCTTTACCCTGGAAGAGAGGAAATGGATACTCAAGATGCCAGGGTGAGTTCTCATCACCGTCACCAAGGTCTTAGTGCAGACAGAAAACCAGTTTGTAACTTTTCGTGTGTTTTAAATGCTCTTGCTTTGATATGGAGACACACAGATGCCTGACCCGGTGTGGCCCAGTGGGCTGGGCATTGTCCTGCAAACTGAAAGGTCATCGGTTCGGTTCCCAGTCAGGGCAGGTACCTGGGTTACAGGGCAGGTCCCCGGTTGGGGGCATGAAAGAAGCAACTGATCAATATTTCTCTTGCACATAGATGTTTCTCTCTCTCTCTTTTTCCCTCCCTTCCCCTATCTCTAAAACTACATAAATAAAATCTACATTTTTAAAAAAGACACACAGATATTATACTGCTGCCCTGTATTCAGCCATCCCGCCATTCCTTGCTTAATCAGATTGGCCTCTCTGAGCTGGAATAGGGTTCAGGAAGCCTTAACTCAGGACTTTGCAAGTTTTTTTAGCCATAGCACTTTTTCTGAACCAAATCATCAGTGGAAGCCAAACAAAATAAAGCAGATAAAAGCAGATGCGGGGTGCTCTCTGTTCTCAGGGGTCTGAAACACAGTTCAATCACTGATTAATGCTGAGAAGAGAAAAATATGTTTCCCTTCATAATTGATGGGAGAGAAAAATTATACAAGCACTGTAGAGCTGTGTTAGCCATTAACCCATGGGGCTATTAAAATTAAAATTCAGTAAAGATAAAACTTCAGTTCCTTACTCAGCCCCATTTCAAATGCTGAAGGAGCACCTTGAGGCGGGTGGCTAGGGTGGAACGGGGCAGACAAAGGACATTTTCACCACTGAAGAAAGTTCTGTTGGGCTGTCTTTTCTAGAGGGGAATTTGGTCATATTTATGAAAACATTCCGTATTTTGCTGTGACTCACAACTTTGCATCTAAGAATCCAAGGAAGTAACTGTATTACTTCGCAAATGTGTATGTCAAAAGACGCTTATTGCCATGTTGCTTATAATAGTAAAAAAAAGAAATTATTTAAATTTCCATTGGTGATAATGAGTTAAATAAATAAATCATGTTACACCCATACAATGAAATACAACAAAATCTTTAAAAGAATTTTACATCAAATATTACTAATATGGAAAAATGTCCATGATATCCATGAAAAATACCAAGTCTCAAAAAGGATGTATAATAGGAACCTACTAAAACAAAAATATACACACGCACAGAGAAAAATATGTATTTGTACAGTGTATAATGTATATGTGATATACAGTCATACACAGTATATATTATATATAGTATATATATATTACACACATATATTTATATATACTACCTATATATATGAATATGCCTAAAAAGTTTAGACAGATTTATACTAATGCTTTTTCTTCAATTTTTATTTATTGATTTGAGAGAAAGAGAGAGAGAAACATCAGTTTGTTGTCCCACTGATCGATGCAGTCACTGGTTGACTGCTGTAAGTGCCCTGACTGGAGATCGAACCCCCAACCTCGGAGCATCAGGAGGACTCTCCAACCAACTGAGCAACTTGGCTAGGGCCCTACACTAGCACCCTTAACAATGGGCTTCTTGAGAGATTACTGCAAGACTTTTCTTTTAAAATATTTAATATGAAAAATACTAAAAAATGTAAAATTCATCTAATTTTGTCAGTATTGTTCCTTTTATTAAAAGGAATATGACACCACCCTGGCCAGCGTGGCTCAGCTGGCTGGGCTCCGTCCTGCAGACTGAAATGTCGCAGGTTTCATTCCTGGTCAGGACACCTGCCTAGGTTGCGGGTTTGGTCCCTGGTTGGAGCTCATAAAAAAGGCAACTGATCAGTGTTTCTCTCTCTCTTTCTTCCTCCCTCCCCCTTGCTCTAAAAGTAAAAATAAAAAAATCCATATTTAAAAAAGAAATATGGTATTGCTAATAAAACCAAATCTCTCTACTATTACTCATCCTGTCCCTTTCTTGTCCTCCACTCCCCACAGCCAATCGTTGTCCTGAGTTTGATGTTTGTTCTTCCAGTTCACTTTCTCTGCTTCTACACACACATCCCCACATCTGCAAACAACACGTAGTGCTGTTTTATGAGGCTCTAATTCACATAAATGGTATCGTACTAAAGGATCATTCTATGTCTTGCATTTATCACTCAACATAATATATTTTAGTTCTATTCATGTTTTGATATTTTCTCTTTTCTTTTTTTTATTGTTGTGCAAATACAGTTGTCTCCATTAATCAAGTTGAGATAGACCAACTTAGTTTTAGTTTACTCTTGTAAATGACTACACCAGAAGTCATGGACTTTTGCTGTTGACAGATATCGAGATTGCTTTTTATTTCTTGCTGCAGCCAGCATGTGTCCCTTGCACACATATGTGAGTGTTTTTCTAGGTCATAGTGTATACTTAGGAACAGAATTGCTAGGTCACAAGTGCATATACCTTTGACTTACTGGAAATTGCCAAGTGATTTTGCTGAATGGCTCTCCACAGTAGCTGTGCCAATATTTATATCCATAGCCTTGACCCCTGTGGCTCAGCTGGTTGGAGCATCATCCTGTGCACCCAAAGGTCACAAGTTTGATTCTTGGTCAGGACACATGCCTAGGCTTGGTGTTTGGTCTCTGGTCAGGGTGCATATGGGAGGCAGCCAATTGATGCTTCTCTCTCTCTCTTTCTCTTCCGCCTCCCTAAGATCAATGAATGTCTCCTCAAGCAAGGATTTTCAAATTTTTTTATCCATAAATGACACTGAAGCATTCCCCTTGTCCCCTCTCCTCACCAACAGTTGACATAGCAAATTTTTAACATTTTTACCAATATGGTGGGTTTGAAATTGGATCTCACTGTTTTCATTTAGTCAACTATGTTGAGGTATAATTGATAAACAGTAAGTGGTACTCATTTTAAGAGTAGAGTTTGATTTGTGACAAGCATATATGACCATGTAACCAACACCCCAATCAAGGTATGGAACATCACTCTCACCCCAAAAGAGTTCCCTCCTGGCCCTTTGCAGCCAAGCCCATCCACCCGCCCCACCCAGGCAGCCACCCACCTCCTTTCTGTTGGCACAGAGCAGTCGTTCAGTGCGGAATGTCACACACATGAAATTACATGGCACACAGTCTTGTGTAAGGCTTCTTTTGCTCAGAGTGATATTTTCAGATTAATCCACATCACTGCATTTTTAGTAGTTTCTCCCTTTTTATTGCTGAGTAATATTACATTTAATGGATGTGTTACATATGATTTGTTTATTCATTTAGCTGTGGATGGACATTGGATTCTTTCCGGGTTTTGACTATTACAAATAAAGCTTCTGTGAACATTTGTGTAAAGATCTGTTTTAAAAATTTTATTTACTGACTTTTAGAAAGAGAGAGAGAAGGAGGGAGGGAGAGATCTGTTGTTCCCCCTATCAGTGACTGACCCTTGAGTGGGCCCTGACGGGGGATGGGACCCACAGCCTCAGTGTGGCGGAGCGACGCACTGACCAGCTGAGCACCTGGCCGGGGCCACATCGCTTGTGGACGTGTTTCTGTTCCTCTCCAGTAAGTACTTAGGAGAGGAGTGGCTGGGTTATATGGTTGTGTGTATATTTAACTTTATTAAAACTTGCCAAATTGTGCCCTGGCTGGTGTGGCTCAGTGGACTGAGTACCGGCCCTCACCGAAAGGTCACCAGTTCCATTCCCTCTCAGGGCACATGCCTGGGTGGAGGGCCAGGTCCCTGGTTGGGGGCGTGTGACAGGCAACGGATCGAAGCTTCTCCCCTTTCTCACTCCCTTCCCCTCTCTCTAAAAATAAATAAATTAAATCTTTAAACAATATTCCAGATAGTTTTCCAAAGAAGTTGTATTATTTCTTGGTCCCACCAGCAGTGTGTGAGAGTTTCAGTTTCCCCACACCCTTGCCGATAGCTGGCGGTGTCAGCCTGCGTAATTGTAGCCATTACGCCGAGTGCCCAGCGCCCAGCGCCTCTCGGTGTGGTTTTAAGCTGCACCCCCGACTGCCAGAGACACTGAGCATCCCTTCTTTTACTCAGCAGGCCTTTCGGTTTTCTTTTCTCTGAACTGCCAGTCCATTTCCTTTGCCGTTTTTTTCTAATGGATGTTTTTTCTTTCTTGATTTGTAGGGGTTTTTGTGTGTTTTTTTTCTTCATTTTCTGGGTATTAACATTTTGTTATGCTGAGATATCTTCTGAGTTTCACTTTCTTTATACTTCACTTTTTTGTATTACCCCATATTTTTATATAAAAATGAGTTACTTTCATAATTTAAAAAATTTCCCTTTTAGGCCCCGGCAGGGTGGCTCAGTTGGCTGGAGCGCCGGCCGGTACACTAAAAGGTTGCAGGTTCGATCCTGGGTCGAACCACAGTTGGGGTGCGTATGGGAGGCAACCAATGGATGTTTCTCTCTCACATCGGTATTTCTCTCTTTCTCCCTCTCTTCCTCTCTTTTGCTCTAAAATCAATAAACGTGTCCTTGGGTGAGGATTTTTTTTTAATTTCCCTTTTGGGAAAGAAATAAAAAAGTACAAAGGCAACTCATGTTATTTTTAGATTGTTTTAGACTGAACTGGCTTAGGAATGAGAGACAAATCAACTTTTCCCAACCAAGGATGAGATGCTCTTAGGGACCCGCTCGCAGCGGCCGCTGGGGCTCGGTGGCCCCTCCTGACTCGCAGCACTACTTTCTCTTCCCGCCTCCAGTGCTCTGAACTGCGGAGGGAGAAGAAATCCCTACCCTCACTCGGAGGATTAATACTCTTCATCCTCCGTGGTCATTCACTCGGCCCCAGACGGCAGCCACGGGGGACAGACCGTCTGGCACTGCACTGGTCTATCCACGGAAGCAACAGGGGAAATGTACAACGACTTCCACACGCAGGAAGCGGCGTGACGTGAAGACTCAAGTGGTCAGGGCTTGTGCTGCTCTTACTCTGTTGGCCACTCCTTCACATTCTTCCTGCTGGAAATGTCTCCTCTCTCTGTCCTCTAAATTCTGGGTTGTCCCAGGGCTTGGGGTGGTAAATAACCTCCGAACATGACCCTCACCAACTCCTTCCTTCCCAGGGTGCCCATGCCACTCTCCCCATCAAGAGGGGGATCAATATCCCCTCCCCTTGAACTGGGGCTGGCTGCATGACTTGCTTTGACCAACAGAAGCCAGTTCCTGGACCAGTCTATAAGTGACCAGGAGCACCCCCATTTGCTACAGGGAAGACAGACACCAGGCTGTAAAGAAGCTCAAGCTGGACTCCTGAGTGAGAAACAACCACACAGAGACAGAGGCCCCATGGGGCAACCAAAGCACCAGGCGAGTGGGTGCCGGCTTCCTGGGCCTGGTAGCCCAGCCCAACCACCAGCTAAATGCAGCAGGGCAGGGCAGGGCAGGGCCCCAGCGGACGCCCCGGGGAGGGCACCCGGGCAGCCACTGCCTGCCCTAGTTCCTGACCCATAGATCTGTGGGAAATAATAAATGGATACTTTAAGCCTCTAAGCTGTACAGTGGCTTGTCACTCAGCAACAAATAACTAACATGCTCAGCCCTCAGACATCTTTCCCCATCTACCCGCACGCCCTGCCTGGGTGATCCTGGCCTGGAGCCTGGCTCCACCAGGCTCCAGGATGCTGACTCCAGTTTCACACTCTCCCCAAAGCTCGGACTCTTCTGTCCATCTCCTCTCTCAGCATCTCCACTGGGATGACGAGCAGGCAGCTCAAATGGAGAAGGGCTCTTAGTCATCCCCTCAGGGAGCTAAGTCTTTGCCATCGAGTCGAGCGGCAAATCTGTCCTTGTAAGGGTACGGGGTACAAATCTGGGAATCATCCTTGATGCCTCTTACTTCCACATCCCACATCCAGTCCAGTAATTCCTACTGGCTCTACTTCCAAAATATACGCAGAATGTGACCATTGCTAACCTCCTCCTTCCTCACCATCCGGGTCTAACCTGTCATTCCTCCCTTGGGTTACTGCAGTAGCTTCCTCATTGGTTTTCTGCATTTGCTCTTGCCTCCTTCCCGCCCCAACCTCACCCAGCAGCGGCTAAAGTGCCCCTTTCAAAAAGTTTAAGTCAGATTATATCACTTCTTTGCTCAAAACCCTCCTGTGGCTTCCCCCTCAGAGTAAAATACAAAAGCCTAAATTTCTGGTAAATCACACATCCAATAAAGGCCTTATATCTAGAATAAAGAACTATTACAACTCAATACTAAAAAGACAAATGACCTAATTAAAATAGGTGGAAAGGATCTGAATAGACATTTCTACAAAGAAGAAATGGCCAACAAGCAGATGAAAAAAAATGCTCAACATCATTAGTCATCAAGTAAATGTAAATCAAAATCGCAATGAGATCTTACGTTACACCCACTAAAAAGACACAGTAACAAGTGTTGGTGAAGACGTGGAGAAATTGGAACCTTCATACCTTGCTGGTGGGAACATATGAAGCAGTCACTTTGGAAAACTGTGTGGCAATTCCTCAAAAAATTAAACACAGTTCCCACAGGACCCAGCAAGTCTACTCCTAAGTATATACCTAAGAAAAATGAAAAGATGTGTCCACATGAACACTTATACGTGAGTGTTCATGACAGCATTATTTGTACTCGTCAAAAAGTGGAAGTAGCCCAAATGTCCACCAGCGGATGAACGCACAGAGGAAATGTGGGCACCCGCGCAGTGGGACTGGGACGGAAAGGAACGAGGCATGGACACGTGCTGCAGAGGAACGGACCTCAGAAATGTAACGCTGAAGGAAAGAAGTGTGTTACAAAAGACCACAAATTGTGTGATTCCATTTTTATGAAATGTCCAGAAGAGGCAAATCTACAGGGACAGAAAGTAGATTAGTGGTTGCCTAGCGCTGAGGGGTGGGGTGAAGTGAAGGACTGCAGTTAACTGGTGTGAGGTTTCTTTTTGTGGTTACAAGAATGTTCTAAAATAGATTGTAGTGATAGTTGCACAGTTCTGTAAATTACTAAAAGCCACTAACTGTACACTTTAAATGGGTCAATTGTATGGTATGTGAATTTATGTCTCAATAAACTGTTCCAGAAAAAAAAATCGAGTCTTCCCGTGGCCCACTTGGTCCTCCACTGGGTGAGCTCACCTCTCCCCACCCTTTCCTTGCCCAGCGACTCTGCACGACTTGGTGCCCCGAACACCCACCAAACCCTCGTAGCTCAGGCCGGGGCTGTGGCACAGGGTGAGCAGTGTGCACAGAACAAAAACACCGCCACTGAGCATGTGTGTGAGAACTAGAATCCATGCTTCTGCTTGTCTAGACAGGGGTCCTGAGGGCTGTGCCCCCTCCAAAAGGTCACCTTTTCTAATCAGCACATAGGTGGATGTGCCCGTCAGGACCTGCTCAGGGCTTCTGTACCTACTGCTCCCGCTACCTCCTTTCCCCACGAAGTTGCACAACTTGCTCATGCTTCCCAGTCATCTGCTCCGACGTCATCAGGGAGGCCTTCCCTGACCACTGTGTGTTCGTACCCAGCCACCACACTCCCAGCACCCTCCGACCCTGCACCCTTTCATTTTACTTCTCAGAACTCACTGATACCTGATATATTACCTATGGAGGCAGGTTTTGATGACCACTGGTCTCCTGCCACTAGCATGAAAGCTCCAAGAGAACAGGAGCTTGGTTTAGTACACTGCTGCATGCCCAGCGCCTACAATAATGTCTGGCATGTAGTAGGTGCTCAATAAATATGTCTTGAGGGTATGAAGAAATGAAGTAAAATCAAGTGATCACCAAAGGCTTCATCACAACCAGTCTAACCCCATTCTCAGTGAACAGAGGGTGTGTTTTTTAGTGGATTGGGCTGATTGTACAACCAAGGAAAAGTAAGATGTGGTGCCTGACCTTCAGGAGCTGAGATCATCCACAAGACAAGGCACTATTGATTGAAATGCAGACCTCAGCGGGGTGAGAGCCTGGCGCCCAGGGAGGAAACCCCTCACCGGTCAGGCCTCTTACCTCTTCTCTAGTGTAGTACTTCAGAAGGCCGTCTCTGGCCAGGAGGACGAATCTCCTTCTCAGGAACTGTGCGTTGTCCTTCCCCCGCTTCCACAGGAACCCTTCTCGGTTACCTTTGCCACCAAGGAACGAGAAAGAGTGAACACCCACAGCCTTGAGACAAACAAGCAGCTCACAGGCTTTGTAGGGTCTCAGAGTAAAAATAACCTCCCACCTGCTGCTCAAATGTCTCGAATCTAACTTAGCTATTTCAGGTGCAGGGCACGGGGGTCCTATCTGGGGCTAAATTTGCAACATATTATGATTTTAGTTGGACTCCTCCCAACTTTTTTTCCTTGGCTATTTCTTAAGAAAACACAGTAAATGCCTAAGTAGGCTAAGTACTAAGAAACTGTACTGGTGACTTCACACTGACCCCAGCCTAGTGACACTCTCCAGAGGGCCGGATTAATGAGTGGCTTTCAGACATGTGCTCCTGGTAGGTAGGGGAGTCGAGCACTGCCTGCCTTTGGTCCCCAAGGAGGGGTTTTGTGCACTTGGCTCTGTGGGTCAGTGTCAGCTTAGACTCAGAGAGCAGCAGGGCAGACAATGCCACAGGCCCAGAGCCCCCCATGAAGCCACGCCTCACACAAAGGCACACCGGAGGCTGAACTCCAGCCCAGGAGCCTTCCTGAGCCTGCAGCCACACCAGAGGCTACATGAGCTGGGAACAGGGGTGTGGTCCTGGTGGGTGAGTCTTCCTGCAACTTATACTAAGACTCTACACACGTGGGGCCCTGTGAAGGGTCTGAGACAAATATGCTTCTTGTCCACTCAGCCCATAAAACCCCACCAACTAAGGTGCTGTCACTTCAGAGGCAGAGAAACTCATGCCCGGGCGTCTGGGGCCGGAGTGAGAGCAGCATCTACCTCTCAGTGGGATCTTGGTCCTAGTAGTCAGGCGCTGCATTTCCTAGGATGCAGTGGAACACAGAGCTCAGAAGATGATGAAAATGAACTGTACCTGAGGGCGAGACGGTTTTCCCATCAGCCATAAACTCCTGTCTCTCATACTTAGCTCGAATCCATTGCTCCTTTAAGACCCTAAAAAGAGAGAGGCTCTGGTCAGCTGGGTCTGTTGCACTCTTGCTGCCAGGCATTCAGGGGCCCTGCAGTGGAGGGTGGGGGCAGCACAGCAGCAGTCCTGCTGCCTGCTCAGGCTCCCCAGCAGCTCTCAGCCTTGGCACTGTTAATATTTGGGGCTGGGAAACCCTGTTGTGGGGGCCATGCTGTGCTTTGTAGGATGTTTGGCAGCACCTCTGGCCTCTGTCTCCTGGATACCAGTAGCCTTCCCTTTCTAGTGATACCTAAAAATGCCTTCAGACTTTGCCAGTGTGTCCTGGGGAGAAGTACATCCCCCAGTGGTCTATGCAAAAACCACTGGGCGATCCTTACCCCGGCCTCGGCCCTCTAGGTCAGTGAGATAGACACCTGCTCCTCTGGGTCATCTACTGCTACCTCTGCCTGCGTCCTCCTAGCTTAAGCCAGGACAGCCCAGCAGCCTCTTCCTGTGACCTGCCCAGGAACTCTGGGCATGCTACACTGTACAGAGCGGTGGTCTTGGGGTCCAACCATCTGGGACCTAGTCCCACTCTACCCTTTATCTATTGTGTGACCAAGAACAAGTTACTTAACTCCTCTGAACTTGGGGAATAGGCCAAGTACTCCATAGGGTAGGTTTAAATGTATTTAAAGGTCCTAGTACCATGCTCGACACATAGTAGGTAGTTAATGTTAGTCCAAACAAGTATTGTCTTCCATGACCCTGCAGAAAAACCATGGACTTCAATTGTTTGCTACTCTCTCGAAATTTCAAGGTAAATGCTCCAAGGTTTATATGACCTCAGCCCCACAACCACAGGAAGTGACCTAGAGCTGGGCACTGGGCCAAACTGGTCAGTCAGAGCCCTGCCTGGGGCTGTGTGGACCAAAAGGAGCAAAACTTAAAGAGGCAGGAATTAGAAGCCCTCTTTGGAGGTAAGCTGGGAGCTGGAGCCAGGGCCTAGAGGTGGCCTTGCTCCCAGCTGCATGAAGGAAGCCCAGTGGAGGGAAAGAAGCGAGATGAAGAGCCAGGCGGGTCTGCGAGGCCTGACAGTGTCTGTCCTGGCTTGCCCTTCCAAGGGCAACTTCACCTCTGTCCTTCCTGCGGTCTGATCCCCAGAACCCATAACATCCTGTTCCGTAGCCAGTTTTAACTGGGTTTCTGTCACTTCCCATCAAGAGTCCTATCTAGCTCTTTGGCTTTTGGCTTCAAGGAGGCTTAGGTGCAACTTCCTTTGGTCATTTTGACCCCCGGTTCATCCGACACCAGTAGCCTCCCCTGTGCCGCCAAAGCTCGGCCCCAACAAGGTCAAAGTCATGCACCTGAGATGCACCGGTGGGGAAGTCAGTGCCACGTCTGCCCTGGCCCCCAAGCTCAGCCCCCTGGGTCTGTCTCCAAAACAGGTTGGTGATGACATCGCCCAAGGAACCAGCCATGGGAAGGGTCTGAGGATCACAGTGAAACTGACCATCAGGACAGATGGGCCCAGACTGAGGCAGTGCCTCCTGCCTCTGCCCTGATCATCGAAGCCCTCAGAGAACCACCCGAGACAGAAAAAAACACTAAGCACAGTGGAAATACTGCTTGTGAGAAGGTTGTTGACACTGCCCAACAGATGCAGCACCGATCTTTAGCTAGAGAACTCTCTGGAACCACTACAGAGGTCCTGGGGGCTGCCCAGTCCATGGGCTGAGCTGCGGATGGCCACCCCCTTGTGACATCAGAGGTGACGTCAGCAGTGGTGCCGTGGAATGCCTGGCCAGTTAAGAATCACAAAGGGAAATACTTCAACTACAGATCATTTGACAACCAAAACAAACAAACAAAAACAAAGAGTCCTACCTAATGCACAGTCCTCACCCATGACATCGAGGAAAGTCACCAAGCCCACCATGGAGCCCCGAGCCACAGGGTCAGAACTGTGAGAGAATGGAGGCTGAGGCCTCCTCAGAGGTCAGAAATGTGGAGGACTTTTATTTTTATTTTATTTAAAAAATTTTTTAAAGATTCTATTTATTTATTTTTCAGACAGAGGGGAAGGGAAGGAGAAAGAGAGGGAGAGAAACAACAATGTGTGGTTGCCTCTCATGTGCCCCCCACTGGGGAACTGGGGCTGCAACCCAGGCATGTGCCCTAGACTGGGATTTGAACTGGCAATCTTTTGATTTGCAGGCTGGCACTCAACCCACTGAGCCACACCAGCCAGGACTGGATCTGGAGGACTTTTAGATCTGGAGGGTGGAGGCCATTAATATTCAGCTAAAAGGGGTTGCAGTGCAAGGCTGTTGTTGGCATCATGACGCGTCGTCTGTGTAGCATGGGCAAAGCCCAGGCCACAGTAGGTGCTCACCAAGTGCTTGTTCCCTTCCCCTTGGAGCAAAGGGCTGAGTGGCAAAGGAGAGGCAAGATGATCAGGTCCTAGGTCCTGGCTGGGGAGCTCAGTTGGTTAGAGCATTGTCCTGATACACCAAGGTTGCATGTCCAATCTCTGGTCAGGGCACCACATATAAGAATCAACCAATGAATGCATAAATAAGTGGAACAACAAATTGATTTTTTTCTCTCTCTTCCTCTTGTTCTCTCTCTAAATCAATAAACACATTTTAAAATTTAAAAAAATAAAGACGACCAGGCCCTCTGGAGTTGAGCCTGGTACATCCCTCAGCTGGGCCAGGGAGGCAGAATTCTGAAGCCGGCACTGAGAAATGGATTAAAACTAGCATTTCCTGTGGCTTATGGGATTTTCACATAAATCATCTCCTCTAATCCACTGCCAAGCTCTGATGTCAGAGGCATCATTACCGTGATTTCAGAGGTGAGGATGCCACAAGTCACAGAGGTTTAGTACCTTGTCTGCCTCCTCACAGCTAGGTCACGGTCGACTGGGGGAACAAAATTGAGGTATTTTGAGTCAAAAGCTGTGCCTCCACTGCCACTCGGGGGCCACCAGGTATGGCTGTTAGTTTGTGCACTGTGCAAGAGCATCCTGCTGAGGCCAGAGGACATGGGAGCTGAGATGCGCCTGCTTCCTGCAAGCCACGCCCTGGTCTGCCCAGAGGGCGACAGGCGCTGTCTAGCAGCCTTGGCCGTGAGGCTGAGTCCCTGGGGCAGAGATTCAGGCTGAGGCAATCTGCGGAGGTCTGGAGTCACCAGGTACCAATGTCACACTGACCCTTCACCTCCAGGTGAACTGAACCCTCCTTCTGCTTCACAGATGTGCCCCCCAACTCCAACCTCTCCCTACCCCCAATATATTGGATTTTCCCAATGCCTTGATTCAGTCACGCAGGCCCCGGTGTCAGATGGGCTAGCTCCAGCTTTGCCTCTGTAAGCCTCAGGTTTTGGACCTATATCATGGGGGATAATGGCAGCATTTATCTCATAGGGTGGTTGAGAGAATTAAAAAAATTAATGTACATAATTATGTAGCACAGGGCCTGGTATATAGGAAAAGCTCAAGAAATATTAGCAGCCTATTTTCTCATGGTTATTATTTATGAATCTTGGGCCCAGGCAGCTGCTTTGGGACATCCCTAAGCATAACACTCTGCAGGGAGTAGCTGGAATCTATTTGTATTGCCAAAACACCAGCATTTCTCTTCTCTATCAAGTTAGCCACCACCTGTGAGAACAACAGAGGCAAATCGGGCAGATAATAGAAAAAATGCCCCATTTCATAGATACGAAAGCTGAGTCCCACCCTAGCTAGTTTGGCTCAATTGGCTGGAGTGTCATCCCATAACCAAAAGGTTACAGGTTTGATTCCCAGTCAGGACACAAGCCTAGGCTGCAGGTTTGTCCCCTGTCCAGCCACATGCAGTCCCCAGTCTGGGCGTACAGGAGACAACCAATCGATGCTTCTCCCTTGCATCAATGTTTCTCTCTCCCTTCCTGTCTCTGAAAAACAATGAAAAAAAAAAATGTCCTCAGGTGAGAAAAGAAAAGAAGAGGAAACTGAGTCCCAGAGGGTGGTAATGGTAGCCCATGCAATGAACACAGAGAAGGCCTTAAACTAGGTCTTGTGTTCTCCATGACAGTACCAAGCTCTTTCCCGGATCTAGCTGCTGACCAGGTCGATGGCCGAGAGCACCACAGACAAAGGTTGGGACCCGGAAATCAAGCACTCACAGGCAGTCGCTGGCCTGGGGGATGTAATAGAAAGCAGGGACTCTGGCTTCATACTTGGCCTTCACACGGAGGTTCCCGTTGTGGGACATAAACTGCAAAACAACAGCAACTTGATGGTAATATTAGAACTTAAAAAATGTGAAATGAAACCACGGTCTTCCCAGAAGGCCACTGTTTTCACTGGCTCCTATGCTGAGTCAGGAGACAGCCCTGGAGGAGCCTGATACTTCCCTTCAGGCTGTCAGCAGGCTGCCGGAAAGCCCCAGCCTGGGGCGATGAGGTGCTGTAACAACTGTGCCTCGCAGAGGCAAGCACATTACAGTTCCCTTGACCCCCTTAACTTGACCCCCTCAACCATTTCAATCTGACATTCCCCATTTTAGAGACAAGGACACTGAGGCTCAGAGAGGTTAAGTGACTTACCCAAGGTGACACAGCCAGTAAGTGGAGAGTTGGGATTTGAACCCAGGCCTGTCTAACTCCAAAGCTCATGCTCTTCCTCCCACCCCCTTCACAGATGGCCAGGACCCCCAGCAACAGCCCTGCAAGTGTGCAGGTGATACATGTAGGCGAAGGATGGAAGCCGACGTTGGCCCCATAGAGTACTAGTTTGGGATTACCACTGGAGCCTTTGACACCTGAGAGACCCAGAGGCACATGTGCCAAGAGTGGCCGTGCCCAACAGTCAGCACTCAGTGACGGCAGTGGCATATCTGGGGTGAGGGCAGTGTGGGGAAAATATACCAGGTTGATAGGGTAAACCCTGTTCTCCCCCTCCCCATGGACCACTGGGCTGTATCACAGCATCCGTACAGGTGTTGGACCCCAGCAGAGCGGGTTCACACCCCAGGTCTCCCACTCATTCACGGAATGGGAGTGACTCCTTGGCGATACTCAACCCCTGAGCTTCAGGGCTCTCACCTGCAAAACTGAAGAAAATGTAACAGGAGAGTTAAAAGGTACAAATAAGCCCTGGCTGGTGTGGCTCAGAGGATTGAGTGCCTGCCTGAGAACCAAAGGGTCACTGGTTCGATTCCCAGTCAGCGCACATGCCTGAGTTGAGGGCCAGGTCCCCAAAAGGGGGGGCGTGAGAGGCAACCACACATTGATGCTTTTCTCCCTCTCTTTCTCCCTCCCTTCCCCTCTGTCTAAAAATAAATAAATAAAATCTTTAAAAAAGGGATCAAAGTGATCAAGAAAAAATATAAATGAAAAAAAGATATAAATAAATAGCCTTCGGGTTTATGTGCTGGTTTGCTCATTTCCTGTCCTTCTGTACTAGAATGTGAGCTTCATGTGGGCAAAGACTTTATCTTGCTCACTGCTCTCTTCCCATACCCAGCACATAGTAGGCATCCAGTAACTAGGTGTTGAGTGAATGAGTAAAGCATCTAACCCAGTAGCCTAGCACAGAGTGGGCACTCAGAGATCATGGGCCTGCTTCCCCAGCAGCCCTTGACATCCTCAGCCAACCAGCATCGTGTAGAGCTGCCTGTGCTCTGAAGGTTTTCTGGCCAAACTGGTATTTTCATCTTGGCTGCAGGTGTCTGCCATCTCCATAGGTCCTGGCTAGGGGGACTGGAGGGAGAGAACAGACTCAGGACACTTGAATAGGGAGGCTCCTGCTCCAGTCCAGGACTCCAGCCAATGAGAACAGCAGCTGTTAACTGACTACTTACTTTGTACCTGACTAGAGCCTCCATTTAATTCTTACAGCAGCCCTGGGATTGGGGGGTAGTGGTATCCCCTTAATACAGATTTGGAAACTGAGGGTCCACAACTCAGTTTCAGTAAGAAGCTCGGTCTCACAGCTTGTAAATAAACAAGTGATAAAACTAGGATTTGAACTCAGGGCCTCTGTCTAAGACACGGCTCCAACGGGCTGTGTTCTCTTTCCCTAGTTAGTGTCCCTCCCTGGGCCTTAGTTTCCTTCCCTATAAAGTGGGAGCGCTCTGCCCACGGCTTCCACCCCTGCCCAGGCTCTCCACGCGTGCCCCTTGCTACCTCCACAGTACTGTCATCCCAGAAGTCAAGTCTCACGGATTTAACTTTGCTGATGTCTGGGAAGTTTCGGTGCACACCGGAGCAGTTCAGACAGATGAAGATGCCCAGCTTGTAAGACGCCCAGTCGGGATCTGCGGGGCGAGAGGGCAGGAGCCGGGCTGGTGGAGAGCGGGGCGAGGAAAGCAGACCTGGTCTGGGGGCACTGGGACAGGCAGTGTTTGCTCCCTGGGGCGGTGTCCAGCTCTGCCCACGCTGGGAACCCTTCCCTCCTGGTGTCCCCCACCAGGGGTGAACTAAGAATACCAGCATCCCACCGGCCACGGCACGTTGGCGACCAGGATAAAGATCTTGGAAGGAGTTCTGGGAATGCGGGCAAGAGGCCGAGGCGGGTGCAAGCGACCAGACTCCGGGGAACCGAGAGGGGAAGGAGGACGGAGGGACCGGCACCGAGGCGCCAGTCCGGGGAGCCGCAGGTGGGGAAGTCAGTCTCCCGGGCGGTCAGCAGGCACTCCCACGCGAATCTGATGTTTCCCACCAGGGGCGCCCGGGGGCCGGGGCGCTGCACCGTCAGGGGGCTCCGGAGAGAGGTCTGGGACCCCTCTGCGTGTGGATGTCAAGGACCGAGGGTGTGGGCAGTGGCGTCAGGGACCGAGGTCCCGGTGGGGCAGGGTGTCTGGCGGGGGAGGTGAGCAGGCTGGTGAGGCACCGGGTCCCGAAGGCGTGCGGCGGAGTTCAGAGCGAGGAGGAGCGGGTGGGGGTGGGGGGCGGCCAGCGACGTGGGTCGGAGATCCACGCTCTGGGCGGGCGGAGGCCTGGCTCCGAAGGTGTCCGAGGGTCACACCCGGGGCCCGCGGGTGCCCGGGGCGGGACCCGGTCTGGGGGGACGGGAGTGGTCTGGCGGGCCGGGGTCCGGCGTCCCAGGCTGCCCGCGCCCTTACCCGCGGCACCGCAGTCGGCGCAGTGCGCGTTGCCCGTGCCCGCCGCCCGCAGCAGCTCCAGCAGCCGCTTCTTGTTGCGCTCGCGGTCGCCCATGGCCCGCCCGGCGGGCTCAGCGGGGTTCAGCCGGGCCGCCCCCCGGCCCGCGGCCGCGCATGGCCCGTGCGCTCTCGCGGGCAGGTGGAGACGGACAGAGACGCGGCGTCTCGGCTCAGTCCGCGCCTCCGACGGCCCCGCCCCTCCACGACTTCCCGCTCCGCCCTCGGCCGTCTGCGGGCTCCGCAGACTCGGCTCCCGCCCGGCGAGCCCTGGCGGGGAGAGACCTGAGCACCGCTCTGGGAGTCACTCTGGCTCCGGATCCAGTCTTGGCCCGCCACTTGCTAGCTGCGTAAGGCGGACAACCTATTGAACTTCGCTGGGCCTCCGTTTACACCTCTGGAGACGGTTTACACCTCCGTTTACACTTTCCTGGAGAAGGAAAGAGAGACGTACGGCCTGCGTCTCAGGACTGCTTAGAAAATCAGAATCTAACTTCTGTTAAATTGTTCTACTGATGTAGATTTTACATATACTTAAAGATTTAGAGACATTCAAATGCCACCTCCTCAGGAAGCCCTCCTTGATACCCGGTCTCAAGGAATCACTACAGCTTGTGGTCCTCCTAGAACACCGTTATAGAATCTGTCCATGCCTTTTGTCCCGAGCACCTTCTATCTACTTTGCATCAGTTATTTATATACTTATGTAAATCCCTTTCCCTCCAACACACATCCACACTTTTTAAAAAGATTTTATTTATTTTTAGAGAGAGGGGAAAGGAAGGACAAAAAAAAAAAAAAAAAGGAAGAGAAACATAGATGTGGGAGAGACACAACAAAGTTTGCCTTTCACACGCCAGTAGCTGGGGACCAGGCCGCAACCCAGGCATGTGCTCTGACTTGGATGGAGCCAGCGACCCTTTGGTTTCCAGCCAGCATTCAATCCACAGAGCCACACCAGCCAGGGAATGATATTTTTATGTCAGTAGTTTTCTTTCTGTACCCCACATAGCTCCTGGAAGTGGTATCTGCATATTTTTAGAAGTCCAATCAATAAATGGTTGCATGACTGTATTTACCAGGAAGTGTGGTTTCATCAGTGTCAACACCCCTAAACAGTTTTTTTTTAATTCACTAATTTTTAGAGAGAGGGGAAGAGAGAGAGGGGAGAGAACAGGGGGCGGGGGGCGGGGAGGAGAGACGCACGCAGGAGCGTGAGCGCGCACACACGCACACAGAGACACAAGCACACACCACGATTTGTTGCTCCACCACCTTAACGCATTCATTGGTTGATTCTTGTGTGTACGCTGACTGGGGATCCAACCGCAGCCCTGGCTCTCCAACCAACTGAGCTACTCCATCAGGGCTCCGCTGACCAGTTTTATCGGTGAAGTGTGGGCAAGTGTGGGCAGGTGTGGGCAGGGCCTAGATGGCTTTGAATATGGGCATTTCATTAATCCATATTCCTGTCACTCTTTGACACCGTTTTCAGTGACCCATAGGTGTCTAGTCAGACACTCACTGCATGCACTTGCCATCCCCTCTGTAGGTAAACACCCATCTGTCATATGCCTGTGACTTACCACACATAGGTGTTCGGTTTCCACCCCAATGGTTGGCAGCTGATGGTGTAGCTGACTTGCCCGTATCCCCAATTCAATGTACATGCAAACACACAGGGCAGCTCGGTATATTGGAATGAATCCAGGAAGCCAGGCTTTGAATCTTGGCTCCATCACTTACTAGCTGTGTGACCTTGGGCAAGTGCCTTCACATCTCTGGGCCTCAGACTCCTCACCTGTAAAGTGAGGATTGCCAGATCCACCTAGTAGGGTTATCAAGATGTGCCAGTACATGGCACACAAAGTCCTCAAAACACCATGACGTCCCTGTTTCCACTGCCCCTCTGGTCAGCTGGTGGGATCATCATTTGGAATGCTGTATGTCATCTCCCATCTTCCCCAGGGTGCAGGGGGTCAAGCTCCAGGCCCTAGGAAAGGGGGACATTACCAAGAATAACCAGCCAGGAGGGTCTTAACACGGTGAGGGGTAGCCCAGGAGCAGCTCCAGAGGAACCAGGGAGAGAGCCCAGAGGGTCAGAGGGCATGGGGTTGTTTACCACACAGGCCGAAAGATGATTCATTTCCGCTGCTTTAGATGAAAAGAGGGACAGAAATAAATCTCCCAGGAGAAGGATGGGAAAAGCATCCTAAAGCATGAAGGCTGGTGGGGGGGAGGGGGTGGGGGGAGGGGGAAAGGGGGACAGGCCAAGGACACTGCTCTCAGCTGTTAAACCCCGGGGCAAACCCAAAGCCATGAACGGGCTCTGGGCACCCCAGCCCTCCAGCTTGGGGTTCCTTTGTTCCCCTGAGTTGTCCTCCTCTGGCACTTGAGTCTCACAGTCCTGGACATCAACCATAGGAAAATGTGGCGCCTCCTTCACCACGGAGAGCCAGAGATTGAGAGATTCCTTTAGTTTTCCTCCTTCCAATACTTAATCCCAAGCCTTAAAGTGGAAGGAATTTCAGGCATCCTTCAGGCAAAGGAAAAGAAATGGTACTTCTGAATTTTGCTTATGACAGGTTTCTTTCTTTCCTTCTTTCTTATCCAGAGTGTTACAGAGAGCTCCACGCCGCTTGATCACATCTGAGTTCCAGGACAGCCAGCTGCGTGAGGACGGCATGTTATCCTTGGGAGAGTTAAGTCGCCAGCATCACAGAGCAGAATAAGGGGCGGCACAGGGACCCAAACCCAGGTGTCCTAACGTGGTATCTCTCAGCCCCAGGTCATGTCGCAAAACCCCACAGGACCAGTCTGCTCCCCCTTTAGTCCTCCCATTTCTGGATTTTTTTGTTTTTCATTTCTAAAAATATCGTGGCACCCTGGTCAGGTGTCTCAGCTGGTTCGAGAGTCCTCTTGTACACCAAAAAAAGTTGCAGGTTCGAATCCCAGTCAGGTCATATGCCTGCTTGTGGGTTTAATTCCCGGTCAGGGTGCTTATGGAAGGCACCCATCAATAGTTTTCTCTGACATCGATGTCTCTCTCTCTCTCTCAAATCAGTAAACATACCCTTGGTGAGGAATATATATATATATGTAAAATGTCTGTAACATAAAATTGGCCATTTTAAAGTGTACAACCCAGTGGCATCAATTACATTCACAGCGTTGGGCAACCATCACCACTGTCTATTTCCACAACTGCTTCATCACTGCAGAGAGAAACTCTGTAGCCCCCTCACCCGGACTTGATCAAAGCAGAGCTCAGCCCTGTGTCCGGGAACCAGAAGCTGCTCTCCAGGGGGGAGCGCTGAGCACTGTACGGAAGGCTGTGACCGAGGTGGACACTGAGCACTGGGGTCGGGGGCAGGGTGGGCTGAGGCAGCTTCCCTTGTGGACTCAGTCCACACAGCAGCTGCTGGGGTGAGGGGCAGTCTGGGCCCTGGGACAGAGTGTCCTCCCTAAATAAAGTTCCCAGGATCACTCAGAGGACAAACATCCAGCCAGCTCTCAGGACTGCTGTCTCCGGGCAGCTGAGCCCAGCTGCGGCGCCGCTGGAAGAGAGCCTTCAATAACACTCCTTGCCCTGGACCGGGCTCAAGATTCCCGGGGATAGACCACAACCCCTTCAAAAACTCAAATAATTTTGTTTGTTAGTTTCAGAATTTTTAAAAAGCCTTAATTAAACACTGTCCACAATAATGGCTACCTTCATTCAGGGACTGCTGTAGTCGGGTCCCTTACATGCATTATTCCATTTCATCTTAAATACGATTCTGAGGTATAGACTACTTTTTATGCCCAGTTTACAGATGAGCCAACTGAGACCCTGAGAGGCGATTTTAGTAAATTTGTCCAAGGTTACCCAACTGAGATGATGGGCACTAAATGATTCATACTTTTGAGCTTGGATTCAAACCCAAGTTTGCCTTGCATTCTTTTCAATGTTGGTGAACTGCATGAAGTTGAACTGTATGAAGCTGACTTACAAAAATAGTGCAGTCAAACCTCAGCTCTTGAAAGTCGTCCACCTCGAACAATTCGGTTCTCGAACAGCCTTCGGAATGAGTTAAGTTTCAGAACCGAGGCTCCACTGTAATGGTGATGGCGTGCAGTTCAACCGAGTGCTCCGCTTTTAGCAGTCTCACCTCCAATTTTCGAAGAATTTCCATCTGCTTTTTTATACATCTTTTTACATGATTGGGACCATATTTTCCATATAATCTTATATCTCTTTACTTTCTTTACAGGGTCTCATGTTATTATAGATGCTTCATGATGTAATTTCTACGGCTATGCAATACTACATGGGTTATGGGCATTTCCTTGTTGGACCATTTGGTCACTTTCGGTGTTGGACGAATATAGCTTATGATGGATTTTTGCTGTCATACCTAATGCTGCAAAGAGGGTCTTTGTGTCCAAAGTGTCCCCTGGCACTGCTCCCTGGCTTACTGGTCTCCTTCTAAGCTTCTCGAGGACAGGGTCAGGTTAGATGCGCCCTCCACTGTATTCCCAGCACCGGCCTGCCGCGTGGCAGAGATTAGAGAAATATTGGCTCAATAATGAAGAAACGAGTATGGGTAAAAAATAATAATAAATGATGACATCAGAGGACTTGGGATGGCAAAAGTGTCTTCCTTGTTGAAGGACAGGCAGGCCTGCGGAACGGCACAAAGTCCAGCAGCCGAGCAGAAGGATCCGATCGAGGCTGCCCGCCTGTTTATATACTCAGTGTCACTTGGCGTTGGACGGGACCCAGCTCAGAACCCACCCAGACCCCGCTCCCTGGAATGCTGTCGAAGTGTCTGTTTGTTCACTCATTAAGTAGGTATGGGGCGCATGTTGTGTGCCGGAAACAAAAATAAACAAAACACACCGCCTCCCTCTGTGCAGCTCACCTTCCTGTGGAGGACACTGAACAGGAAGAGAGAAGCACACATACCTGCATGCCACGTGGTATCAGAGTGACTAATGCTCCAAAGGGAAACAGAACAAAGGGACAGAGAGGGATGGGAGATGCTGTGTTAATAGGGACAAGAAGGAAGCCCTCTCTGAAGAGGCGACATTGGGGGGGGTTGCCACCCCAAAATGTGCCTCTTTGGGATATTGATTGTTTTAAGCTGGTTATTTTTAAGAAAATGAGATGAACCTTTGACCTTTCCGCA